TTAACCGTGCCTTAGTGACAAATTTTTTTTTCCAGTAGCATAACTTAAGTCGAGAAAAGCCATCTGTCGACGAGGACCTTTCGAGTTCGACTTCATTAAGCTCGAAGGCCTATCAACCACATGGTGGAGTCAAAGAACTACTTTCCAGTCAAATTTTTAACCAAGGTCTTTAAATCGAGAAGAAGACCGAAGGACAATACGAAGCCACATTTTGATTCAAATTCCGAAATACGGTTTCAATTCTATATCATTTCAAGATGAACTCGACCTCGCGACGGGGAGCCAACCGCGACTCAAAGTCGACAGGGAGTTATTCCTAATTCAAATTAATTTTCAACTCCATCGAGCGAAAATTTATGTCCTTTTGTCTTTGTCCTATTTTTTGTTCCACGAAAAAGGACAAAGACGGGCAGCTGTATACACTCATTTTTGCCCGGAGTTATTTTGTTTATATATATATATATATGTATATAGTAATATATTTTTTGAAAATATTTTTGACAAAATATAATGTATATATTATATAGTTTTTGAAAACATTTTTCAAAATATATATATAATATATGGTTTTGAAAAACATTTTTGAAAACATTTATATATTATATAGTTTTTAAAACATTTTGAATATATATATATATATATATATATATATTAAATAATTTTTAAAATATTTTTTTATAGTTTTTAAATTTTTTTTAATATATATATATTATATAGTTTTTAATTTTTTTTTGAAAACTTAAATATAATATATAGTTTTTAAAATATATATATTATATATATTTTTTAAAATATTTTTGAAAATTTATGGTTTTTAAAAATATTTTTTGAAGTATATATTATATAGATTGTTTTCTTCTTTTGAAATATTTATTATTATTATTATTATTATTACTATTACTATTATTATTAGTATTATTATTATATCTATTTATTATATTAATTAATTAATTCTTTTTTTTCTTTTTCTTTTGGTTTAAGTCCAAAGAGTATAGTCCAAATGGTCCATCAGAGGTCCAACTCGGATTGGGCCTGATTCAGCCTGTTAAAGTTTAGGGTTTGGGAACCCTAAAACAATATAAGTAAATAGCGCCACACAAGTCAAGGAAACCAGGAAGTCAAAGGGCAAGTCGGCCGGCCGGGAAAATCGGGATTGCACCATCCCGAGAATCCTAGCCACGTGAACGCTGAGGGGAACGACCCCGTTATCATCGGAAATGGCCTTCATCGAGGGGGTATAAATACCCCACCATTAACAACGAGTAGGGGGGACAAAGCAGGGAACACAAAAACCATCACAGAACTCACGAGAGAACCCACAAGTACAAAACAACCAACACAGTGAACAAAGCCATCATCAAGTAAATCGAAACCAATAGAGAGCAAAAGTTATCGAGAGTTACAACCAAACACAAAGCCAACAATAACCAAGCATAACAACCAACACCATGAAAAGAACCAAAAAATAGCAACAGATGCGCAAAGGCAAAGGCATCGGAGATGAAGGATCGACGGGAAAACGAATCATTCGCCGGGAAGGTAAAGAGCCGGAGTTTTTCTTTTAGATCTAGGTCGATTGTGGCCATTTTGTGGGAATCGAGTGGTGGATTTGGGTTGGGGACGTTGAGAGATACATTCAGGGTGTTGGCGGCCGGAGGCGACGACGGACGACGGATAACCACCAGATGGGTGGCTGGATCTTGGCCGGGCTAGAGAGAGGCGAGAGAAATCTGATTTCTCTCATCTTTAGAGAGAGTGAGAATAGAGAAATGAGGAAGAATGAGAGGACTTGGGCCTAATGGGGGGTATTTATACCCTTCCCAAAACGACTTAGTTTTGGGGAGGGATCTGGCTGTAATTTCTCGCACAGGTGAATCCCGTTCATGGTCTCTGTAATTTTTGTTCTTCACATTTTGGTCATTAAATTCAATTTCTAGTATTTCAATTTAGACTTTGAATTTATTATTTTTGCATTATAATCCCTAATTCATGTTTTATTCGAAATGACCCAAGTATTTTTTACAGGTTTCAATTTAGCCACCATTATTTTTTCCTTTTTTCTAATTCAGCCACAGTTTGTTGAAATTTTTCATTTTGATCCTTTTTAACTATTTTTTCGATTTCTTTGTTAATATTTATTTTTTAACGTTTTTTTCATTTTCATTTTTTTCCAATATTTAACTTATTTCTATTTTTTTTATTATTATTCTTTTTTATTAAATTGTATTTTCTGTTTGTTTATTTTCTCTCTCTTTAATTTTATTTAATTTTATTATTTAAATTTTTTTCTTTATTTACTTGTTTTCCCTTTTGATTTATTATTTTCTTTTTTTATTTGATTTATTTAATATTTATTATCATCATCATTATTAATTTTTTCTAACATTTTTTACTTTTTTTAGAAGAATTCCAACCATTCAAAGGTAAGTAATTAGAATCTGATTTTTAAATTTCAATTTAAATTTAAATTTTCGTAAATTAAGACAACCGATAAATTAATTGGTACCGAAAGGGCGGTTCAAGAGTGCTAATCCTTCCTTGACCGTAACCGACTCCCGAACCCGACACATATCTGGTAACACGTAGATCAGGTAAGATGATGTTCGATCAACCTAAATTTGTTTTTAAATGATCGGTGGCGACTCTAACCCATTTTTTCAAGTCGAAGCCCAATTCCGGGCCCAACCGAAAGACGGCCACGCCACCTATATCTTAAACTTTCTCCCAAAAATACCACAAATCACATTTCTCTTATTATTTTCATCCAAACTTTTCAGAAAAACATTTTTTTCACATAGTAAGGCTTCCGATTGAATTAAATTTTTTAAAATTGAATTAATTAAACTTATTCTTAACTATTAATTGAGTCGACTTTTTAAAATTATTAATCAAACTATATTTTTCTATAACTTTTGAGTATATTAATATGAGTTTAATAGAGATTTTTTTTATTTGAGTTAAAATTGAATTAGGTCCAAACAATTTTAGTCTGGTTAAAAAATAGTTGAGTCCTAATTTTGAAACCAAGTGTAGGGGTAGCATACTAAGTTGTGCCTGCTTCTACCAGCTGAGGATTGGAGCTTTGCGTAGCGGGGTGAAAGTAGCGTCCAGGGTACTTGTTGAAAACACCATTATGAATCTGTGGAGGTAATCCTTGGCTTGATCTTGGTGTGGCGATTTCTGATTTATTTTAAATGAATCTGTGTTGAACTGAGTTGGTCTTAGTGGTGCCATTACTATTTCTATCTCGATGTGTGGTTGATCGTGATTAGCCGGTCTATGATTTGTTTATGTGATATAGAACTTCAATTATCCACGTCGATTGGGTGTACTATTTTTCCTCCATTTAAGTATATGGAGGTTTTTTAACAAGACCCCTATCGATTTTCTTATCTTGTATGTTTCGATTATTTTGAATAAATACGATACACCCCTTTAAATATTAAAAAAAATTAATCATCCTCCATTCAAACTAATTTTAGTGGCTTATCGTTTAACATAACTAATTCAAATTGATTGATTAATTTAGTTAAAACCGACTAATAAGACCTAAAAGTAGCCAAAGTCAAGGGGAAAAGGTTGTTTTGTTGAAAAAAGGGTCCAAAAGATGTCAAAATTTTAGCCTCAAGCACCATTTTTTCCCCCTTCTATGGATGATGCTGTGTTAGTCGGAAAGGTTACACTTAGTTAAGGTCAATCCTCTAATCAATCTTGATCTCATTTAATGACTAGTAGAAAAGAGTTATGGGTTTCTCTTTGCTAATTCTTGGATGTCAAATTAAACCCCAAATTAAATTCTATGTATTAATTTATTGCCTCATTTTAGTAGTTAAAGTGAATGTTGTTCTTTTTAAAATCTTGAGTTCGAGCAGTTACATCTACAAGACACATATGTATTGTCAATGATTAAAAAAGATTATGAACAAATAATATCTTATAATCATTCCATACTATAAAAAAATTGATATATATATTACAATAGAATGACACTTCAACTTTAAAGGATGTTTGATTCATACAAACTGAAATTATTTAAATGTAAATTTATTTGATATATTATTAGATATATAGTTTGATTTATCTTATTAAAATATAAGAATATATTTTAATAATTTTAACCATCCATCTTAAATGAGAAGGTATTATTAATATAATTAATATGTTACATGATTTAAAACAATCCTACATGTCATGTCTAACATTGTTAAATGTATATGAAAACAAAATACAAAACAATCATCAATGTGAGCCAATTATTTCAGCTAATCTAAACAAATATTGTTAAAAAATATGAGAAGGAATATTTTTATTTTATAATTTATTGGAAGTATTAAATTGATAAAATAATAAAAAATAAATGACAAAATTATCCAAATCCTCATTGGAATGTTACAATGCCTAATAAATAAAAGCTATTACAATCTCAAACAATGTTTATTTTTGATGATCATACGTTACCATCATTGAATAATGTTATAAAGCTAATGTAATTTAATTACAAACTCTTATATTACTTAAATAATCAAGATTTTGAATTCATTCCACGATTTTAAAATAATTAAAGAGAATGTTCTCTTTAAAAGTTCGGAACATATGCAATATCCTTACGTCAACTGCTTCTGCAACAAGCTATTGATCGAATGCAAAATAGCAGAATGATGCTACGCAGTTGATCTGCTGCCCAACAGTTGCACGGCTTGTACACCGTGCAGCTCAAGAACCACCTTCTTCGTCCCGAAACGCCAAGCTTGATATAAATTGTCATAAACACCCCATTGCTCTGCTCGATATAAACCATCATAAACGCCCCATTGCTCTGCTTGATATAAACCATCATAAACGCCCCATAGCTCTGCTTCAAGGATGTTACAGCGACTTGTTTGACTGGTAATGTTGATCTTGCCGGTCAGAGCCTGTTCTCATGTTCATATTTTTGCTATCATTTTCCCGGAAACTGCATGATTTGAAACTATGAATGCAAGTCGAAAATATCGTGTTCGTCTTTGATGAATTGAGATGCAATAATTTTACAGCATTTATACTGAATGACATTGGAATGACTGTCAGGTTTGAATCAATGGCAAGGCAAATATGTTGCCAGCAATGTTCTGAAGGAAGATATACAAGGTTACAAGCTACGAATAGAGATCTGAACGAATTTAGAAATCAATATAGAGTTCAAGGTACTGCGTCACAAGCTTGAAATATGATCCGAACCTACATCCGTACCTACACTAGAACTCTCGATGTTGAATGCAAATGACTGTTCCAGATCAACAGCATCCTGAACCCTAAGTCGTGTACCCTGTTGCCCGACAACTGTGGCCGCAATCCTAGCTGCTAATGTACCCATACCTTTCAAATCGGAGACACCTCGTAATATGCCGTACAGAATACCGGAAGCATACGCATCACCGGCACCACATGTGTCCACCGGTACACATGGAGAAGGAGGGATATATACAGCTTCTCCTTTTACACCTATGTAAGATCCCTTAGGTCCATCCGTGACCGAAACGAAGGGAACAAAGTGGCTAAGATACCTTGTTGCTGAAACAGGGCTTTCCTTCGAGGAAAAATGGCAGAGAGCTCTTGCTTCATCACTGTTTGCAAACACAATGCTGGCGAAATTCCCGACGATTTCCCTGAGTAATAAAAGCTAAAATCAATTAATATTCGAAAGCTAAATGCAACCACTATCATATTACCTTACGGAATACGTGACCTGAAAAATTTTACAAAAAACCATCGATTTTAATAAGGTTGGCTAAAATAGACCACACACTTACCAGAAATTATCGTAGTGTCTTTCAATGCAGGAAACATCAGATGCCGTGACTGCTATCAGGGCACCGGTCCTGCGTGCTTCTTCACATGCTCTTATAATAGTTTTGATCGTATCAGGAAGTTCAAATAAATAACCCTCAACAACAAATATATTTGTCTTTGATACTAAGCCAGCCAGGCAAGAATCATAATTAATAGTCGATGATGTGCCCTGAAATAGAAGAAAGAATTTACTAATGAGGATCCACACTCAAATCTATACGATACACGAGTTTATGGCAGAACGTCACTTCAATAGGGAAATTGCACAAAAGAATTCAGCAGAAAGTGTTGCAGAATGAAAAGTTCTCTTATTCTTGACTGAAGTTTTTACATAGAATATTTAGGCACTTTTATACAGCTTTTTTTTAATAGTCTGGAGGGATTACAAGGTATTATCTGTTCAAATGTTTTTTTAGCTTATAATTGACCTGCACATACTGTGCAAACACAGTTGCTCGAACCTGAAACCTCTAGGGAGAACAACACTCCACTTTACCACTTTTATACAGTTAAATACAACAAGATGCATCACTTTTCACTTACAACAAGATGCATCACTTTTCACTTACAACTCACGTGAGAGTGAAAAGCATCATATTCTTTAACCATAGAAACGAAGCCGGGATAACTAGCATCACGGAGAATATTAATAATCTGCAAAATAACTAACATAATTGTAATCTGTTTTCTTCTAACAATCGAACCTATGCTTGCAAAGACTGAGTGTGCAACCCCAAAATTTAACGGAGAATAAAAATACTAATCATAACTCAACTGAATCTAGAAAGGAAACAAGACCATTAAGAACCACCAAATTTATGTAACGACTGTCTAACCTGATAAGCAAGCATGGTGCGTTGAGCATCTGGAGTTGTGAGGACGATCACTGTTCCAGTTGTTCCATCCTTGATAGGTTCAGAAAGAAAATTCACATTTGCTCGGTGTAGTTTAGACCTATATCAAGAAAGTGTATATCTATTGTTAACAAGACCATTACAAATATCAAACGGGCTAGATCATCTAGTTTTGATGATGACTGGTCAATTCAATAACAATTTCAGAACTACATGCAGGAGCTACAATAGACATTGAAGATACAAGAAACACTAGATTATAGAAAGAATTACCACACAGTTTACAAGATTTAACTTGTAAGGGGTACGAAATAAGGTGAAACAAGACTGTTAGAGTCTGTGACTGAATTCATATTGAACAAAGCACCTTGTAATATGAAATTTCTTTGTCCTCTGGTAATTAACCCTATCAATAGATAATAGGGATTAGGGTCATTCATCAAGCCAAAATCCTCTTGTAAAATCTTATAGTCAATCTCTCTCCTTTGCCACTGATTTTTTTTCTCTTTTAGGGTTGGTTACACAAATCATAAATCATGAGTGTTCTTATTTTTTTTTTGCAATGTCGTTTTTCACTAATGTACATGGAGAGAAGACACATGTGATGCAAGACAAGAAACAATATTAGATATTGAATCAAGATTTTAATTGTCAATTAATTTCGATCATGGTATAATTATATTGATTTGATATTACATGGTTTCTATGTTTATTAATAAGTAGATATTTGCATTAGGGAAGAAATCTTGGAGAATATGATTTCTTGGTGAACAAATAATGGATTTGAGCCTTAATCTTTGGAATTATGAGAGTGATGTAATCCAGTCTCAGTACCAGAGGTGAGTTTTGTAGGGGATGTGGTGAAAAGTTCGGTAAAACACAAGTTAAAAACTAGGCAGTATAGAAGCTGATTTTGTTTCGAGACTCAGGTTTAGAGTTTGTTTATTGAGTGTTTGAAGTTTATGCACTCCCTATGTTTATAGTGGAATTTCCTTTCATTACAGATGTAGGCAACTAGGGCCGAACCAAGTTAGATATTGTCTTTTGTGTGTGTGAGTTGATATTGCGCCAATTATTTTCCACTAACAATAAGAGTCATGAGAGATTTAAAAGAAAAATCAAATCAAAAGTTAGACCACTAAGCTAAAAAGGACTCGAGAAACTTGGACACATTTGGACATGACAGGAGTACTAGAGTAGGTGAGAGTGAGACTAGAAAGAAAAAAGTTGTAGAATGAAATTCCATTGGATTAGAAGGAAAAATAAAATAAACAGTCCGGTACAAGAAATGCAGTAAACCATACGCTTGTCAAGCAAAGTCTTCTTTATCAATGGTTCCCACCTAATTATATGACATAGGAATCCTGAACATATCCCAACCAGAATTTAGCTAACAATTTTGGATACCGTAAGAGATGAAGCACCCTAGGAATCACAAATTCTTTTGTTTTTCTTTTATTTGCTAAACTGGCAGAACACAGAAGTATACAGGAGTTACACAAGAGAGCACAGAAAAAAAAAACACACACACACAAATGAAAGCAAGGGAAAAAGGCTTAGTAAATAAGGCCCAGGTATTATGCTACCAAGAAACTCTACAAAAACAATGAATTAACAATTTAACAGATCCAAGGCTAGAAGTAAACATTCTTCAAATCTTATCTTTACTTTGCTATGGTCATGGTCAATCGCCATAAAACCTCCACGATGCTTTTATTAAATGAACTTCATCATAAACAAATAAACATATATCGGAATAATATGACTCTTGATGCCCTGCAGCTCTTTAATATTTTTCAATACTTCCAATAACGTTCCCGGGATGACTTTAATGCACATGGAAGGGTGTTCACTACATTCAGGGGACAATCAACAAGAAGAAACAAATAATAAGACTTAATTATGCAAATGTTGTATTGTTAATGGAGCTTCAAGTGGCTTGTTTCATTTATGAATAAACTACCTCATAATTATCCAATACTTCCAATAATGCTACCGGGATGACTTTAAAGAAAATGAAGGGTGTTCACTACATTAAGGGGACAACCAACCAGAAAAAAAAATAATTATGCAAATATTGTATTGTTAAGGGAGCTTCAAGAGGCTTGTTTCATTTACAAATCAACTATTTACAAAGCAGTTAATCAACTAAAATATGCATCCACAGATACCAAGTTCAGTCTTGCATGCTTCCAACCTTTCCTTTTCACTCTTTAACCAAACAATGATAGTTCCTTTACTAATTTTAACTATCCAAATAAAAGGCACATGTATCCTTTCCTTTCTTTTATTATTGTTTATCCAAACATAGCCTAGGCCATTTACCTAGCATATAGAGGTGGCTTAATGTTTCGGCTGCATGACCTAGATCAACCTATACATCATATTTTATTTGAACTAAAATGATTAATATTTTCAAATTCTAGAAAATGTTTATAGTACTCTTTCAATTAAAATAGCATTCGAAAAAGTTCAGATAACATGTTATATTATTGACAAGAGCCAAGTGATCGAATTTAATTGATGAAGTTTATTCCCTTTATTTGTTGTCCTTAAATTGACTTTTTATATAAAACCAGATAATTTACAAAGGGACCCGATTCAGATCTTTTCCCAGAAATTCCAGTAACAATTTCACACAACTAAACAAGTTAGAGAAAGAAAAAAGAACAATATATTTCAGAAAGCAAAATCTGACCTGTAGAAGCTACCCAATGGGTCACTCCCTACACTGCCTGCCATAGCTACATTTAAAGCAGGGCCTACGATGGGCTTAAAACCGAGCCTTGCCAACGCCACCAAGCTGTTGGAAAGAGATCCTCCAGCAGCTGCCTTATAGCTGCAACCATCCATAGCCCGCAAAACTCTACCCCTCTCCTCATGATTTACAACCTTCCTAGTTCCCTTCTCTAATCCCAACCTCTCCAAGAATTCATCATCCACCATACCAGAAAAGTCTACCTGAAATTGGTACATAAATTGCATAGAAAAGTTCAAGATATTTTCAATTCGACGTGAAACAAAAGATACAAGCAGGAAATAAAATCTGACTAAACAAAGAAAAGGACAATATGAACAAGCTTTAAGAATATAAGAAACCATGTCTTACAATCAATTATCAGCATTTGCAGAGAATAAAAAAATTCAACATTCACAAATGAATAAAGCAGACCAACCAAAGAGTTGATTTTTTTTTAAGTTCTATCCAGTCACTATATTATTAGATAAAGTTTCTCTACACCAGTTTATCCCATTCCACACCCCAATTTCTTGTAATTCCCTGTTAAGTAAATGGAAACAATTCTTGGACCCTTGGTCAAATTCATTACTGGTTCCCAATAGACAAAGAAATGGAGCCCCAATTTGATTAATTTTTTCATTAACAAGTAAGGTTCTACTTTGTTCTTATGATTACTAGATGCCTTTTGTTTATCAAGTAAAGATAAGAAAAAGCAACCAAGATCCTAAATGAGGCATCATATCTATTTATTTAACTTTTTGCACGAAGAAAATTCATAATATCATTTCTATACAGAACAAAATTATGTTTCAATGTGTATTATATTTTAGCTATTATACAAACTATCAAAGCCTTAAGGATTTAAAAACAACAAAAAAAAGGCAGAGTTGAAAGGAACAAAAGAAAATATATCAGCAAATTTCCATTTTCCTTTCTAAGAAACACGGATTGAATCTTTGACATCAATTCCCTTATCTTCTAACTAGACTTCCCTAAAAGGGTAATGAAAAAGCTCAAATTCAAGGGAACTATAAATTAAAAACAACCAAAGATATGTATGAAAAAAATGGTGAAGAAACATACCATGGCCTGACCAAGGCCAAGAACATCCCATCTGTCAGGTAAAGCACAAAAAGGCCGAGCACCTTCTTCTTCTTCATCGACCTCCTCCTCCTCTTCTTCTTCACTTTCAAATTTATCTCCTTTGCTACTGCTACTGCTACTGCTACTGCTACTACTCCCTCTAGAACTACAAGCATAAGAATCCCAAAAGAACCCGCCCCTGTGTTTCCCCATTGAACCGGAATTCACCCTGCTTTTACCTCTGAAATCACCCAGAAACCCAAACTCTCTTATAATCCCCCCATTCCCATGGTGGCGGTAATATAAAGAAGGAAACGAAGGAGAATGGAAACGGTAAAGAGGGAAAATTGGAGAGCAAAAAAGGGAGTAAATTTGTGGAGGAGATGAAATGGAATTAAGGAAGGACATACTTCAAAATTGAATATATTTTTTAACTCTTGGCTTTACTAACTAAAACGGGAATCTATAAGGGAAAGAAGAGCACTGTGAGTTTTGGGTTTAGGAATGAAAACTGAGAGCAGAGGCAAAGGGAGACATATGTAGCGAAGATGTTTGAGAGAGAGGCTCAAAGTCACAGCTGTTTATCTTTTGAGAGGATAAAACGTTTTCTCCATTTTATTATTTTATTGGGTTGTGCGTTCATAGATTTAGTTACGTGGAAGTTTCATAGTTTTAGAAATATTAACGAGATGTCGGCGGCAATATCATTTCTCAAATATTGAAATGCCCCTCCCTTTGACCTTCCAACCAAAAGATTTCATTTTAAAATTGGGTAAAGCATTCGGCATTTTTTTTTTGAAAAATCATCGGTGACCGATATATTTATCGATTTAATATCAGTCAGATTATATTTTTTGATCTAAGATCTGTAGCAGTAAAGCACGCTCTTTACCCCGCGCTATATGTTGATTTGACGTCAAGTGGGGTATAGCGCGTCTCCTGCACCGCGCTATACGCTGACATGGCTTACACGTGGGGTATAACGCGGTACAGGGGGCGCGCTATACCTTTAATTACCCCCAATCCTCCTTATAAATACCCCCATCATCTATTACTTTCATCACACTATATTCTCTCAAATTCTCTCAAATACTCTCTCTATTTAAGGTATATTTTATAATATTTATAATATTATGTATTTAATTTATTTAAGCATTTTACTTTATTTAATATTTTACTAATATAATTTTTTTGCAAATATATAATGGAATACGGTCTACTTCGCTTGGATGGAAATCATATATATCGACACTTTACTGATACGGTAACATTTTAACGTTTTAATTTAATTTAAATTATTTGTAATAATTTGTTGATTTATTTAATGCATGATTATTAGATTAAGAATTAATTTGTGTAATTATTTAATTTTAGGAGAATGACCGTGTATTAGATCATTTTATTAGGAATCTTAAGTTAGTGATACCTAGCTGTATCTTGCCGTATTTAGTAGAGGCTGGATTTGGTTACATAGGTAGATATCAAGGTCACTGTAAGATATAACCAGACCTTATTTCTGCCTTAGTAGAGCGGTGGAGGCCGGAGACCCACACATTCCATATTCCGTGCGAAGAGTGCATGATTACACTTGAGGATGTTGCTATGCACCTAGGGCTTCCGGTGGATGGAGATGTGATATCAAGGATCTCGTAGGGTTCCTGGACTACTTTGTGCCGGGATAATCTAGGACGTGTCTCGAAAAGTTTTATCGGAGGTAGGATACCGTTAAATTGGTTAGATGCCAAGTTTTGGGAGTTGAGCGCAGACGCCTCTGAGGATGAAGTTAAGATGTATGCACGGGCATGCATACTGCAGTTGATAGGAGGGTTGCTGATGCCGGACAAATCGCGCAACCTAGTTCACTGTATGATATAGTCACGTCTACACCAGATCCGGAGGTCATGCCACACGGTCCCATTACTAGGTCAAGGGCCAAACAATTCAGGGAAGTTCTCTTAACTAAGTGTTTTGAAGCTTTTGATTCATTTGATAACTTAACACTCTCTTATGTTATGCTATATAATGTTTTAATAGCTAAAGAATAACTTAGTATGAACACATCTTACACATTGTTATTTTTAATATGTTAAGCATGTTAGGATAGTTTTATTATCATATTAAGCATGATTATTATATATACATCAAGGCAGCATACTTATAATGCATTTCATTAGTTTATTTGCATTCATATTAAACTCTTAGGCTTTATACATTATCTTACACATATTAGGAGATGATGTACATAGCTCATGACCATTATACTTAGCTCACATTACCATAAACAAACATGGCAGCAAGGTATTTAGCTCGTTTTAACTCAATATAGGTACAATGGAGTGTGATGCACGTTGAGGTAGCTTGGTGAATGATTTGGACGTCATATATAGCTCACAAACAGCTCACAAAGTACAAGGCAGCTCATGGAATGCTAAGGGAAGCTCGATTCAGCTGGAGAAGCTTCAGGCTAGCTAAACTTAGCTAGTTGGACTATTTGAAGCTGAGTTGCTAAAAGTGATGACAAAGGTAGCTGAATGTAGCTGAACATGCTGTTATGGAGCTCAAAAGGACTAAGCTAGGAAGATCATTCACAAACAGCCCCATGCTTGCTAGCTAGCTCAACACTCAAGCTAGCTTGGAGGACACATGCACGCCTAAGAAGAAGCACATGACCAGCCATCATCCAATGCACATGGGTGCACCACAAGGCTTCCTAGAACACCCATGTGCCGTGCATATGACCAGCCCTCATGTGCCTTGCATGTGAACTCATTTAGGCGCCAAGATGAAGAGCCCTCTCCCTATTCAGCCAAGCATCATCTCCCATCCAATTGCAACTTTAAATATGTCTTTATAGGGAGATACATAGGCTGACCGAATCATCTTGTATTTATTCGGCCATGTCTCTCCATTCTTATAAAGGAAAACATTACATCATTTGTAGCACACCTTTTTATTCAATTAAAGTGAGATTCTCTTCTTAAGTCCTGGTGACTTTTTATCGACTTATCAAGTATTTTATACTTGTGGCGTCAACCCTTCCTTTCATCTTGATACTTCTGGTTCCTAGTTCATATACTAGTGGGTCAAAGTACTTAACACCATCCCTTGAAGAAACATATAAAGATTGGGTCTCTGCTCTATAGCATTGGTTCTTCTTTGAGATTTCTTCAAGATACTATCCTCACAACCATCCTTTTATTTCATCACCATAACCATAGCCTTATCAACTATCTTCCGCTTCCATTACTCATTATTTAAATAGCCTACCAATTCACCCATACGTCTACCACCCTTAACCATTCTATTTTGAGCCATTCACTTTGCAGGTTGTTTTGCTTCCTTCCTAGATCCACAATCATTTGAAAAGGTACAAGTACCTTACATCAAGCGGTAATCAGCTTTGGTGGAAGAGCAACGTGCACAACAACAAAAAGAAAAATACAAAAAGAAGTGCAAAAGTGAAGTGCAAAGTCAAAGAAAAAAAAATCAGCAAAGAAAATTGAAGGACTCAAAAGTCAAGCACTCAAAAGAAGAAAAGCAAAGAAAAGAAAGAAAGTTGGAAGCAATCATCAACAATTCTCATCACCAAGCATTTTCAAGTAAGCCTTTAAAATTGATTGTGGTGATAGAAGGTTGTGAAGTGACTTGTGTAACCCTTTCATTCTCTTCTTTCTAATTTCTAAGCCACCTTTCAATTATATTTGCTTTCCATTCCTACTAACCATTTGCAGCCGACGCCAAACAAGTGAAATTAATCGATATAGTCTTGAGTAAAAGTTCATTAGAACTTGAGACAAGAGAATTGAGGGAAAAAGGCTGGAGCGTGTGTGAGATCAGAAGAGGACAAGTAAAAGCCATTAAAGTCCTAGAGTGCAAACACGAGCGGATTCAGTGACATCAAGTTTTCTTGGAGTGACTCGTGAGGCTTTGTCAGAAATATTCTGGTAAGGTCCTACACATTTCAATTTTTCCTTATTTGCTAACATGTCTCTTCCATCCAACATTTTTGTAGTCAAAAGGACTTTGAACATTCAAGTCAAGATGATGAACAAAGAGAAAACATCTTCCATACCAAATGTCACGTGGGAGATAAAATTTGTGTGGTGATCATTGATGGAGGAAGTTGTACCAATGTAGCAAGTACTCACATGGTGGAAAGTTGGGTCTCAAGACTTCCAAACATCCTCATCCTTACAAACTCCAATGGCTCAACGATGTGGGAGAAGCCAAGGTAACCAAGCAAGTGATGTACCTTTCTCAATTGGAAGATACAATGATGAAGTCCTTGTGACGTGGTGCCCATGAGTGCAAGTCACCTTATACTAGGACGTCATTGGCAATATGATAAGAAAGCCACCCATGACGGATTCTCTAACAAGTACATTCCAACATCAGGGAAAGAAAATCATATTGGCACCTTTGTTACCAAGCCAAGTTCAGGAATGTCAAGTGACCCTCAAAGCACGCATAGAAGAATGGGAGAAAAAAAGAAGGCCAAAGAATCCATACTCCAAAGATGAATATCTATGCCAGCAGAGGAGATATTCGGAAACATTATCAACTAAGAAAGCTCTACTTATACTTATGTATAAGGAAGTTTTCTTCTTACTAACCCTCCTAAAGGTTTGCCTTCTTCTATTTCTAATCTTTTGCAGGAATTTGAGGATATGTTTCCTGAGGAAATTCCCGATGGAGATATTCGGAAACATTTATCAACTAAGAAAGCTCTACTTATACTTATGTATAAGGAAAGTTCTTCTTACTAACCCTCCTAAAGGTTTGCCTTCTTCTATTTCTAATCTTTGCAAAGACAAGTCACAGAACTCCTAAACAAAGGTTACATTCAAGAAAGCTTAAGTTCATGTGTGTCCCGTTTTGTTTGGTACCAAAGAAAGATGGAACTTGGAGAATGTGCGTGGATTGTAGAGCAGTGAATCAAATCACTATCAAATATAGGCACCCTATACCTCGGTTGGAGATATGCTTGAACTTAGCGGGGCCAATATCTTCTCCAAATTGATTGAAAAGTGGCTACCATCAGATAAGAATGAAGGGGTGATGAGTGGAAATTTGCGTTCAAGACCAAACAAGGTTTGTATGAATGGTTAGTCATGCCTTTTGGCTTGACTAATGCCCCTAGTACCTTTATGCGTTTAATGAATCATGTCCTTCGGCCTTATATTGGTAAGTTTGTGTTTTTACTTTGATGATATCTTGATATACAGTAAGTCATTGAAAGATCATGTTGAACACTTACGATCTATTCTTAGCACTTTAAGAGAAGAGCATTTTTTATGCTAATCTCAAAGTGTGATTTTTGTACTAATCAAGTTACTTTCTTAGGCTTTATTGTAAGTTCACAGGGATTATCAGTGGATCCAGAGAAGATTAAGGCAATACAAGAATGGCCAAACCGGTTAATGTCAGTCAAGTTCGAAGTTTCCATGGATTAGCCAGTTTTTACAGAAGGTTTGTACCAAACTTTAGTTCCATTGCTGCACCCTAACAGGGATTATTAAGAAGATTCAAACTTCTCTTGGGGAAATGAACAAGACAATCTTTCA